ATTCTGTCTTCAGACCTGGCGGCTGGAGCCCACAAGCCCAGGGCTCCAGCCCGTCTGGGGACCTCTTTCCACACTCCTGTCCCCATTGTTTTCTGGGCCCTTCTTTATTTGACCTTATTGAAAGTACCTCTCTTTTGACCACTTCCTGTGTGGTCTCTTAGATCTCAAGAACTTTACGGGAGGAGCAAGATCTGATTCATTCTGGGGCCTCGGGTATGGAGATGCACACCTGAGAGGGATGAGGCCCTTGTTCCGAGCAAACCCACACTGAATCACACCATCCTATTTTATTGATTTACTTATTCGTTTTATATATTTATTTTTTCACATGAGATTTACCAGAGAAAGAGGGAGAGTGAGAAAGCAGGTTGCCAGGTCCTGAGCTTGAACCACCGTCAGCCACGTGGGAATTCCAGCGCCTTAACCACCAAGCCACCCACTGGCCCCTATTTTTCTTTTTATCAGAGGATTTTGCCATAAGGCATCTTAACCACCTGCTGGCTTCATACCATTCTTTTAGAAGTGCTGTTTGAGCAGATCAGTAGATGGCATAGTGGTTACATCACTGGATTCCCACAGTCGACCATGGTTCAAGTCCCAGACCTGCAACTTAGGGCTCATACCGGGCATATACGTGTATGTGCCCAAGACCTGAGTGGAGAATGGAGAAGGGATTGAGGCGTGGCCATCCCCCATGGGGGGTGATTTCTCACTTTCTGTTTCTCTTTGTCTCTCCAGTGAGCACACACGCCTTATAGCAAAAACCTCTCCTAAAAGTAAATACATAAATGAAGTGCTGTTTGCAGACACCGTCGATGGAGGACACCCGTCATTTCTGCTGAGGCCCTCTTTATTAATACATAATCTTTAGACTATTAAACCTCACTAGGTATCATTAGAGTAGGCTCTAATGCATGAAATACTACACAAGCCCTAAATGTCACTGTCACTTGGCCTGGACGTCCATTGACCAGCAGATAGTCTTTCGAGTGATTATCTTGTGTCAGGTGCCATTTTACAAGCACTGGGGACTTAGAGGTGACCAAAACAGACAAACGTGTGTCTTCGTGGTGCCTACATTCCTG